CTAATTGTGACCCTGACACTAAAACCACATTTTGAGCCTCAAAATGCTTCAAACTCGTCGGCATTTTTCCCCATAAGTGACTGTTGGTCACCACAAGTACATGTATATACACACACACACACACATTCAGCTGCTGATAGTGTCAAATTGAATCTTTATTTCCTGCGACAGGTTCAATCACTCCTATGTTTGTTCGGCTCCCGTGTGGAGGGGTGGGGGTAAGTAATGCTTGTTTGCTTTGTTTAAAAGGGGCTAAAACAGCTCACACTTTCTGCACTATTCAACATCGGTTTCCAAGCCAGTTTATCAACACGAGACTCGGTTTTCTGGTCTTAGGTGGACAGCGACACCATTTGGAACGAGGTCCACTCGTCCAGCGCGGCTCGCCTCGCTGTCGGCTCAGTGGTAGAGCTTGTTTTTAAAGTCGCTACTGGAGAGCTAAAGGTAACCTTGATTACACCTGTCTGCTGCTTCTTGCTCTGTTTCCCACTGCGATGAAGCAAAGTTAATGTGTTTTTATGTGCTGCAGTTCTGCCACAGTCTTTGAAAAGTCAGAGTGAAGCCCAAAGTTGACACTTAAAAATTTAAGATACCTCCTTTCATTCGTTCTGCATCACCCAGCCAGAGCAGGCTGAGCTTGGTATTTCGAATGTCCTTTTCTTCAGCTTTTTCCAGTTCCACTGGGGAGATACCACAATGCTCAAAGGCCAAATGAGATATATATAACCCCCCCAGTGACTTCAGGATCTGCCCCGGGGTCTCCTCCCAGCTGGGGGTACCCGGAAAGCTTCTAAAGGGAGGCACCTGGAGACATTTTAATAACCTGCAACACCTCAGTGGGCTCTTGATGAGAAGGAGCAGGGTCTCTACTCAGAGCTTCTTCTTCTGGATGTCTTGGCAACCACATGCTGCTACTGAAACATGTGGTTGAAGTAGCAACATGTGTCTGTTGCTGTCGCTAGGTGAAGTCCGAAACATCTTTGTGATTGCTTTGGTCACTAAAAGATTGGCACAATCTCTTGAAGTTTGTCAGCTTGTCTCCAAACATTCACAAACTGGTGGGTCAGCAGCAGTGAAACTTTAATCAGTGCAGTTCACACTGAAAATCATTTGCCTTCAAAGTAAACGCGTCTCTGCTACAACCAACACGCTTCAATAGGTACAGCTCCCCATGCACAGCTGGCCGGTGGTTGCAGACAACTCGGTGTCTACCTGAGAGCATCACTCACCTGAAATGAGATCAGGTTTAAGCAAGAAGTTTCTAGAAAAAATAGAGCACGCAGCTTAATTCGTATTGGCTGCTTCACCTTTATCAATAACTCCAGAGTAGTTGACCTGCAGTCCCCGTGTTTCACAGCTCACTGAGCTCAGCTCAGTTTTGTTTATATACCACCAAATCACAACAACTGAGCAAGTACTTGGCAACAGTGGGAAGGAAAACGCACAACGCTCGGTGCATCATGGGAAGCCCCAAACACAAACGGTCATCATTACTTGTTTTAACCCCAAACTGTATGGGATCCTTGTTGCAGCCTTATTACAGTTATTGGAATAGGGTTATTAAACCCGCCGTTCACTTTGCATTGCTGTGATTTAATGTTTGTCACGCTCTCAGCGTTTCATTTGATTCATGTGTAATAGTTTCCCACTTAAAGGCTAAGTTATGATGTTTTTAATGGTGGTTACGATCACAGAGGAAACAGTGATCAGTGCTAACAGACTCCCGTCGCTTCTTTTTCCAGAATGGTTTCGCTGTGGTCCGCCCTCCTGGACACCATGCGGAGGAAAGCACTCCCATGTAAGGCCAAAGCTGTCACCACACTGACTTGGAGACACTTAATCTGCACGTATACAAAAACCAGAGCTGGAACAGGCTCGTCTGGAATAGAAATTACATAAACCATTGAGTCTATTTGCACATAAAATCCTGAGTGCCTTTATTCTGTCAGCTTTCTCAGTCCTGCTTTATTTATTTTCCATATCCTCCTCAAAAAGTGTTTAAATTGTCCTCCGTCTGCTGCTGTTTCAGGGGTTTCTGCTACTTCAACTCTGTGGCCATCGCAGCCAAACTGCTGCAGCAGAGACTGAATGTCAACAAGATCCTCATTGTGGACTGGGTGAGTCACATGATCCTCTGTCATGTGACGCTAATCAGAAGATGCAGATTTTTTTCTTTTTTTAAGACCAGTTAGATTTATTTTCTTCTTCTACTCTCAGGATGTTCATCATGGCAACGGCACCCAGCAAGCCTTCTACGATGACCCCAACGTCCTTTACATCTCTGTTCATCGCTACGACGACGGCAACTTCTTCCCTGGAAGCGGAGCACCTGA